GATGTGATGTGATTAATTAAAATTGTGCAATTATTATGTAAGGAACCTCATGCATATTTTTATTGTTATAAATTTGATATGATGTGATAATTACGAATTTAAAATTGAAAAAAATTATCTAGCGTTAGAAAAAAAATTATTACCATAAAAAAACCCGAATTATTATCGTTTGAATAAAAAGCGAATTATTATCGTTTGTAAAAAAAAAAAACAAATTATTATCGTTAGAAAAAAAAAACAATTATAATGTTATTATCATTATAATATATATATAACAAAATTAAATGGCCCTATTAAAATAAAGTAAATTTAGCATTGATAAAGAACTTTGTGAAAGATTATGTCGCTTATCACTCAAAATATTTTTATAATTGCTAAAGCTACGCTCTACATCAACACCAGAGATGGGTAACCAAATATAAAATAAAGCGATTTTTGAGAGAGAAGGTAAATCATTAGATTTTTCTTTCCAATATTGATCCAAGTTTAAATTTTCGTCTAATTCTTCATCTAACTTACAATAAATGTTCCATTCATTTAACAAATCGTCACTTAAAACTTTAAATTCTTCTATTATAGTATAAAGGTTAATATCTTGCCGTGATATTGAATAACGAATATATTTCAGATCAAAGCATCGTATTGCTTTAAAAAGTAATAAGGCAGAATGATTATAAACATGTTTTGTAAGCTTGTCAAATGATAGTTGAAAAGTTTGCGAAAAAATTGACTTAAAAAATGTAAAGTCTAAATTCTTTTCTTGAATTTTGCTATGCATAAATGTATTAAATGGAGGACTTTCAATTCCTGCTTGAAGCATAGCATGGGTTTGACTAATTCGTGAAAAAACATAAGGTGCTACAGGCTTATTACGTATTTTAAAGAATTCCAAGTCTTGAATTAAACTAATAATTATAATTTATTAGTAATTATATTATTTAATTAATAATAAAATATATATATATTAATATATTTACCGTTGCGCATTTAAAGTAATAAATTCGATGATCAGTTCAATTACTGGAATGTTTTCATGATTTGAAAAAATTTCTGCTAATTCTTTAACCGATTTTGGAGGATCACTGAGTGTATTTTCCATTAAAAAAAACTGAACTAAATACAAAAAATATGACTTCATCCAGATAACGAAATTAAACCAGCTATTCCAACGAGTTTTCACAAATAATGGAGGTAATTGTAAACTAAGGTCAGAAATTTCTAAAGCCGAATTAAGAGAATTTAATAAAATAATATTTGATGAAAGAAAATTTAACCATCTTCTCTTACGAATAGAAGAATGAGAAAAAGCTTCTTTAATACTAGAAGTTATACGTCCGAGAAGTTTAAACTTATCGAAGTATATCCAACAATCCCCAACTAAACTTAAAATATGAGCAAAACAACAGTTGTGACGAAGTTGAGGCATTAAATGAACTAATATATCCGAATAGGCCTTTTTCATATACACGGCATTATCGCTAATAAATAAAATAACTTTAGAAAAAGAAATATTATAAAAATTTAAAGTTGCTAAAATTAATTGCGAAATTGTAGAATGATTAACACTATCCAAATATTCAGTTTTCACCAACTTAGTTTGATCTTGAAAACTAAACAAAACATTAACAACACTACGCCCACAAGTGTCGGTAGTCTCATCGATCGTAATTGAAATATGTTTATCGATTAAAATATTTTTTAATTCGTCGATTTCACTTTGAAAAATTTGCGGAAGGTAATGTTCACGCATTTGATTTGCACTAACAACTTTATCATCTACAATATAATTAAATATTATTTAATTAAATTTTAAGTTATACACCTATATATTAATATCCATATATTGATCGCATACCTTCAATACAATATTCCTTAAAAAAATTTTGTAATTTATTAATTTTTTTTAATGGAATATCTGCTTCCACAAATGCTTTGGCCAATGCTACATTAATATTTTGTTTTGTTATGCTTAATTGATTTATATTACTTGAAGATGCTTCTTCTATAAGACTTTTTTTGTTTTTATGTGTTGCCAAATTAAGATGATTGTCGATTACTGATTTTCTAGCATGATTGACAGCAACTTTACAAGTGATGCAAAACATTTTATCGTTTGATTCGTAAAAATCATCCTTATAGGAGTCATTAGAATTTATATGTTCTAAGGCTGTGAACTTGATTTTTTCCATCGTTAAAATTAAAGAAAAAAAATTGTAACGTTCCCCAAATACTTAGATATTGATGCCGTAACAATTATATAACGTTCAAAATACTTTATTAAAATTAATATCATAACAATTACAACAAAAGACGATCGTGATATAGAAAATCACTATTGTGATAATTATGACAATTACATACGATATAAATATTATTCGCTTAAAATGCACCGCATAATGTCGCATAAATGACCTAAATTTAGCAAAAATTAATCGCATTTTATGTGTCTATTATGTGATTGCATCTGTCCGGTGTCTCTA